CCCTAGGATTTGCAGAGATCCTTTCAGGGTATTCATAACATCAAAGCTATTTGCACAATGATACTAAGATATTATTTACCTTTCCACTATGTTTACAATTAAACTGATGGTGCAAACACAACAGTGGATAAAACTGCTGCCCCTTTACAGGAATCAAAATAGTAGACTCACATTATGCTGGCAGTCATTGTATTCTTCAGGAAGGACATAGATGTGAGCCTTTTATTCACAGAAGTCCCTTTTGGAGCAATAAAAATTCTAGAGTCCATATTTGCATATATATCCTGTCAATATTCTGTGTGACAGGAAATACACATAAACCATGCTGTACTTGAGTCTCACAACATCTCAATTTCATTTATGCTCTTTCAGTTGTGAGCTACACCAGCTACTTTTTTTCAAAGAACACATTTTAACTTGAAAGAACAACTGACAGATAAGCAATGGTTATCCAGACTTAAGGATTAGACAGGCTTTCTCAAAAATGAACAGTAAGGCTGTCACTCAAAAGGAAATAAATGACAGTATTTCTTATCAATGATAAAACTGAAGTATTCAAGAGAAAATTAGAATGTTGGAACATCTGAATCTATCTGTGAGCTTTACAGCTTCTCAATATATACTTTTCTGATTAGAATAATGGTGATATAAGAATAATGGTGATATTGGATTTGGCCAATCCAAAATGGCCAAATAGGAACAGCTCTGGAGTAGGGTTCCCAGAGGGAACAATGCAAAGGGTGAGTGATCACCACATTTCCAAATGAGTTTTTACCACCCACACACCAGGAGATTCCCAGGTTGAAAAGCACAACATGTTTCCAGCACACCTGTTTCAGTCGGCACCGCAGGTCTCTGCACAAAACTCACACAAATCTGGGTGGCCTTTTCAACTGGTGCCTGGAATGCCTGGGAGACAGAGCCACCCATTCAAATGAAAAAAGAAGGGAGCTGAAACAGGAAGCCAGGTGATCTGGCTCAGTGGGTCCCACCCCAACAAAGACCAGCAATCTGAAATGCTCTGGATTGATAGTTTCAGAGCAAGCACAGCTGGACCCAGGACAGTCCAGCTCAGTGGGGAGAAGGGCATCCACCATTACCTAGGCAGTCCGCCATCACTGAGGCAGTCCTCCATTACTGAGGCAGACCAGCATTACCAAAGCAGTTCTAACTATACCCCTATAAACAAAACTGCAAGGAAGTTCATACAGCAGCTGGGCAGAGCCCATGGCAGTTCAGCAATGCCTCTGCTGGCAGACTGAGACTAGACTACCTCCTTGCTGGGCAGGGCAGCTCTGAAAAAAGGCAGCAGCATGTCAGAAACATAAACAAAATCCCACCTTCCGAGGACAGAACACCTGGGAAAAAACCCAGAACACCTGGCGGTTATGAGTTCCACTGCAGCAGACTTAAATGTACCTGCCCAGCAGCTCTAAACAGAAGAACGGAGCTCCCAGTTCAGCACCTGAGGTCCTATAAGGGATAGATTGTCTCCTCAAGAAGCTCCCAACCCCCATATATCCAAAGAGACACTTCATTAAGGAGAGCTCAGGCTGACATCTGGCAGGTACCCTTCTGGACTAAGATAATATAAGAAGAAACTGGCAGCAACCCTTACTGTTCTGCAGCCACGGCAGGCGACCCCAGGCAATCAAGGTCTGGAATGGACCTCCAGCAGTCCTACAGTAGAGGGGCCTGACTGTTAGAAGGAAAACTAAAAAACAGAAAGAAATAACTTCATCATCAACAAAAAGGATGTCCACTCAGAGGCCTCATTGGAAAGTCACCAACTACAAAGACCACAGGTAGATAAATCCAAAAAGATTGGAAGAAACCAGAGCAAAGAGGATGAAAATACCAAAAACCAGAATGCCTCTCCTCCTCCAAGGGATCACAACTCTTCACCAGCAAGGGAACAAAGCTGGATGGTGAATGAATCTGATGAATTGACAGAAACAGGCTTCAGAAGGTGGGTAATAACAAATTTCTCTGAGCTAAAAGACCATGTTCTAACTCAATGCAAAGAAACTAAGAATGTTGAAAAAAGATTAGACGAAATGCTAATGAGAATAAAGAGCTTAGAGAAGAATGGAGCTGAAAAACAACATAAGAACTTTGAAAAACATACACAAGTTTCAACAGCCAAATTGACTAAGCAGAAGAAAGGATATCAGAGAGTGAAGATCAACTCAATGAAATAAAACGAGAAGGCAAGATTAGAGAAAAAAGAGTGGAAAGAAATGAACAAAGCCTCCAAGAAACACGGGATTATGTGAAAACACCTAATCTATGTTTGACAGGTGTACTTGAATGTGGCAGAGAGAAAGAATCCAAGCTGGAAAACACTCTTCAGGATATTATCCAGGAGAGCTTCCCTAACCTAGCAAGGCAGCCAACATTCAAGTTCAGGAAATACAGAGAACACCACAGAGATATTCCTCAAGAAGAGCAACCCCAAGGCACATAATCTTCAGATTCACCAGGGTTGAAATGAAGGAAAAAATGCTAAGGGTAGCCAGAGAGAAAGGTCGGGTTACCCACAAAGGGAAACCCATCAGACTCAAAGCGGATCTCTTGGCAGAAACCCTACAAGGCAGAAGAGAGTGGGGGCCAATATTCAACATCCTTAAAGAAAAGAACTTTCAACCTAGAATTTCATATCCAGCCACACTAAGCTTCATAAGCGAAGGAGAAATAAAATCCTTTATGAACAAGCAATTGCTGAGAGACTTTGTCACCACCAGGCCTGCCACGCAAGAGCTCCTAAAAGAAGCACAAAACATAGAAAAAACAACCAGTACCAGCCACTCCAAAAATGTACCAAATAGTAAAGACCATCAAAACAATGAAGAAACTGCATCAACTAACTAGCAATATAACCAGCTAGCATCAAAATGGCAGGGTCAAATTCACACATAACAATATTAACCTTAAATGCAGATGGGCTGAATGCCCCAATCAAAGGACACAGACTGGCAAATTGGATAAAAAGTCAAAACCATTGGCGTGTGGCATTCAGGAAACCCATCTCACACGTAAGGAGACACATAGGCTCAAAATAAAGGGATGGAGGAAGATTTACCAAGCAAATGGAGAGTAAAAAAAGGGCAGGAATTGCAATCCTAGTCTCTGATAAAACAGGCTTTAAACCAAAAAAGATCAAAAGAGACAAAGAAGGGCATTACATAATGGTAAAAGGATCACTGCAACAAGAAGAGCAAACTATCCTAAACGTATATACACTCAATACAGGAGCACCCAGATGCATAAAGCAAGTTCTTAACGACCTACAAGGAGACTTGGACTCCCACACAACAGTAGTGGGAGACTTTAGCACTCCACTGTCAGTTGATCTGTCAGATCAACGAGACAGAAAATTAACAAGGGTATCCAGGACTTGAACTCAGATCTGGACCAAGCAAATCTAATAGAAAAAAAAAAAAAAGAATAATGATGATATAAATAAATGTGTGTTTTTTTAACATATAATGGTATGTGTCAACATTCAGAAGACTATATTATTCACTGAACAAATATTTTCCAAATGGATGGGGCATAACGTCAAACGTCTTATTTGGCATGTCTTATTTTGCATTTGACAAATGGATGAAAGATCCATTCAAAGTGCAAATGGGCCAATGGATGTAATGGAGTATGAAAAGACAGTCAGACTGTAAATTTGAATCAGTAATTTGAAAGTAATTAACACTCCTAAACATTTTCATTGAGGAAGATGACTAAAACTTGTTTAGGAGTTTTACAAGTTTAAACCTTTTGACCAGTTTCTCTTCTATGGAAAACCAACTAGCATCTAAACTAGCACCTAAACTGGTACCTAAAAAAACCTGACACATATAGGAAAAACCCTGCCTCAGTAACTCTATTATCATGAATTAAGCATCTAAACATTAATCTTAATACTCTAGAAAAGAGATTACCACATGATCTGTTAACAGAAAGCTTGTCTTTTGAAAACACACATGGAACCCTAACATAAATGACAAAGCATACGTAGGTCTCATGGAGTCAATGCTTAGCTTCCTTATCCTCCAAACCTCTATCTCATTGCACATGCACATGAGACAGCTTATGAAAAGCCAATGACCTAAGCCACCGGTTTCTAAACTTGGCTGTGCTAAAATCAGAATCAGTACCATTAACTTTTTAGTAATAGATTCACAGGCTGCCTATCACACCAAAGTAAATCAGAATCCCTCTGGCTATAATCTAGCATTCCATATTATTTAAAAGGTCCCCAGTGGCCAGGCTCAGTGGCTCATGCCTATAATCCCAGCACTTTGAGGTCAGGAGTTTGAGACCAGCCTGATCAACATGGCAAAACCTGGTCTCTACTAAAAATGCAAAAATTAGCTAGGTGTGGTGGTGAACACTTATAATTCCAGATACTCAGGAGCCTGAGGCAGGAGAATCACTTGAACCCAGGAAGTGAAGGCTGCAGTGAGCTGTCGCTCAGCCTGGGCAACAGAGGGAGAATCCATCTTTAAAAAAAAAAAAAAAACAAAAACAGGGTGAGGGTAAACACAGTGGGTGGCTCAAGCTGGTAATCCCAGCACTTTGGGAGGCCAAGGCAGGAAGATCACCTGAGGTCAGGAGTTCGAGACCAGCCTGGTCAACATGGTGAGCCCCATCTCTACTTAAAATACAAAAATTAGCCAGGCATGATGGCGTGTACCTGTAATTTCAGCTACTACAGAGGCTGAGGCAGGAGAATCGCTTGAACCTGGGCAGTGGAGGTTGCAGTGAGCTGAGACTGCATCACTGCATTCCAGCCTATACAACACAGCAAGACTCTGTCACACACACACACACACACACACATATACACACACACACACACACAGAGACACACACACACACAGAGAGAGAGACACACACACACAAAGGGCCTTCAGATTTCTGAAGCCGCCCTTGGGAGTTCAGTCCTGCTAATCATTCTTATAGGTAATATCCCCAGTACCATTTATCCAAAGGCAGCTCACTTAACAGTAAGAAGCTCCAGATGTGGAAATAAGAACCACTTTGAGCTATATCACTCACTAACAAAGTGATCTTCAACATCTCTCCCATCAATTTCTTCATCTGTGAATGGTAGAAAATACAAAAGAAAGAGGGAGAGGGCATTCATGAAAACTAAGTAAGATGTTGAATGTAAAAGTCTTACACAGTGCCTGGCAAGGTTACATAATGAAAATGTGTTCATATGTTAGGGGGAATAGGAAGGATTAGATGAACTTAGCATCTGATGTAAGAGATGAATTAAAAACTATGCTTTTGATATGAACTCTGTATAGTCCTCAAAATCCAGAAGACCTATTAGATGTGTCCTAGTAGGGCAGTTAGACAGTATCTAGCATTTCAAAAGAAACAGGTGAACTTCTGGATAGTAACTACCTTTGAAGCTGTGCAATCCTTTCAGGCTCTTAGCTGTAGGTCACCACTGGGTCAGAGCCAAAGGTATTAGCCATAGCTGAGATGGAGATGACTAATATTATAACAATAACCATTCATATTCAATTAAAGTTTCTTGTTTTGACTCCATGGTCATAAACAAATTTTTCAATTCATAATTTGGCTTTTTAAACAATTTTTCCCCTAGATCAGTGTCTCAACTATCCTGTTCAAAGCAATATTTCTCACTATAATTTAAGTTCTACAGAAAATGAAGCCAAGTCCCAAAACATCTACTGTTTGTAATGATTAACTTATCTCCCAGGCATTTAAAATGATACTACGGGCACATTATCCTGGAGTAAACTGAGGACACACTATCTTTGGGAGGACTGAGAAAAATACTCCCTAAAATTCTCTTCTGTAGGCTGAATTCTCTCCATGGAACAAACTGTAAATGGCTGCATTAATTAACATTCCAGTTTACAAGGCTTTTGTGAACTTAGTTACAAATGATTAGTCCAATGGTCTCTAGGTTCAATGATAAGACACAGTTCATAGACCTTGACTTCACTAAAATATAAATTGGCTTATCTCATCACATGTTCTACAGAATAACTACACTTCAGTGTTACACAGGTGACACGACCTCTGCCCTAAATAAGTAATTTATATTTTATTTATACTAAAAAGGCAACATTTTACTTAATATAGTGCCATTTCAAAAATTTTAACTTAAGTCAAAATTGTATTTTATATTTAATATATTCATCAGAAATATTAAATTCTATTTTGAAATCTCATAAAATCTTTCTAAAATCTACCCCAAAGAAATAAAATTTCACGGAGCTTACAGATTTTAGATCAGGATAAAGGCAAATTTAGAGCAAAGCAGCTGAATTAAAATCCAATCAAAATCTTGAAAAAATATCCCATTAACAGAAACTTCCGTAGATTTTTTTCAGTTTCCAATTTAATGCCCTACTAAAATCTTAGTCAGCATCTTACTTTATTACTGAAAAAAATGACATCCCTCTCCTAACTCACAATAATACTTTTTTATAAAAGCACACGTTTCATTTTTATTCAAAGAGAAAATTTCAGAAACATTTAGCTTTTGTATTATTATAAAGCTTTCATAATCTAATACTGAGATGGATGGTTAAGAGAGGGAGGGAGGAGGAGCCAAGCAACCATAAGTCCAAGATTAAAATGGCTCTATAGAGAACAATAAAGTTGGTAGTACAAATTCCCCAGAGACTGCAGTCTGCTAATGGCAATACTTAAAACAAAATTTTAGAAAATTGAAATTTAAAATCAAGAGAACAAGAGTGGGAAATTGGTAATGATAAAAGGAGAGGTAAGATTTAAAGTAACTTGACTAAACCACCACAAAGAAGTCTTACAAGTGAATCTAAATGAAGCAAAGTAGGCTAAAGAAGTTTCAGGATTTTGAGAATGAATACATACATATTATTTATTCCTGAGGTAGAAAACAGAAATCTCATAGGTGGTTTCCAAATTAAAAGTTTATATGTAGCTTTATATTGTCATAGGAGATATTAAGAAATTACTGTAGGCAGATAGAGAGGAAGAGGGGTCCTTGGGAAGTTTTCATTTTTTAAAGCATCTCTGGGAAATTTTCTTGTAAAGCCCCAGCTCTTACAAGAAATAGGAATGCTTTTACACTATGGCGAGAGTATAAATTAGTTCAACCATCGTGGAAGACAGTGTGGTGATTCTTCAAGGATCTGGAAATAGAAATACCATTTGACCCAGCAATCCCATTACTCAATATATACCCAAAGGATTATAAATCATTCTATTACAAAGACACAAGCACATGTATGTTTATTGCAGCACTGTTCACAATAGCAAAGACTTAGAACCAACCCAAATTCCCATCAATGAAGACTGGATAAAGAAAATGTGGCACATATACACCATGGAATACTATGCAATCACAAAAATGGATGAGTTCGTATCCTTTGCAGGGACATAGATAAAGCTGGAAACCATCATTCTCAGCAAACTGACACAAGAACAGAAAACCGAACACCGCATGTTCTCACTCATAAGTGGGTGTTGAACAATGAGAACACCTGGACACAGAGAGGGGAACATCACACACAGGGGCCTGTCAGTGGGTGGAGGGCTGGGGGGAAAGCAGGGGGCAGGGGTTAGGGGAGGGACAGCATTAGGAGAAATACCTAATGCAGATGGCGGGGTAATGGATGCAGCAAACCACCATGGCATATGTACACTTATGTAACAAACCTGCATGTTCTGCACATGTACCCAAGAACTTAAAGTATAATAAAAAAAATTATTTTTAAACAACAACAGAAAAGAGCCAAGCTGGCAACCTTTGATATGCAAATGTGGGCCATTAGAAACTGGGTCCACCCAAACATGGTGATTCCTGCCCTCTTCTTCTTGCCCTTGCCCCACATGTTCCTGGCAACATGGCTGCCCCCACATGTCCTCACCTGTTTAGCACATCATGGCACCCTGTATTTGCATATTAAAAAGCTACAGTGGGAGGGCCAGTTTTTATTTTGTAGGCTACATGAACGACATGCCTGGTCAAGCCAATCCCCCAAGCCCTATGCAAATCAAACCACCTCCCTCCACCCTCTTCATTTACCTGGCTGGTATCCATGGCAGGTGGGGTTCCCTCCCTTGGCTTTGGAGTCCCCTCCCTCTGTCTCTGTACAGGGGAGCTTCTTCTTTCTTTCTCCCCCCTTCTTTCTTGCCTATTAAACTCCCTGCTCCTTAAAACAACTCCACGCCTGTCTGTGTCGTTTTTCCTAATTCAACTGGAGAGGAAGAACCTGGGGTTTTCCACTCATCAAGTAGTATTTTGGTTAGAAGCTCAAATAGGAAAAGAAACTGAAAGATACTTACTATAGTATCCATATAATACAGTGTCCTCAATCTGTCTGCTGACATTAGCATTAGCCCAGTCCTAGAATAAAGGAAACAACAGAAATATTAATGAAACATACATTTGCCTAACAATTAGAGTTAGGTTTTAATATGACTAAATACCACTTCCAAAATCTATCCACTCAAATAAAAACAATCTATGTCTTCAATAACTGAGAGACAGACAATAGACAATTTCAACATGTAAATGCTGAGACAAGACAACACAGTTCTGGGAAAACACAAAGACAAAAGGCACCTAACTCAGACTGAAAATCAGGAAGGGCTTCTCAAAAATGACTAAACTGAGGTCTGAAAGGAGGGAGAATGATCTCAGGGAAACAGAGAAAACAGTAGGAAGGAAAGAGGGGAGAAAAGAACATAGAACATTTGAAAAATACTTCAAGAAGCTAAAACAGACTCAACTGAGTTTTTGGAAAGGTTAAGAGAAGGCAGGTGGAGAGGGGGAGGAGAAGGACATATATGACAGAGACTTGTGAGTCATGCTGAGTATTTTGGACTTTGTCCTAAGAGCAATGAAAAATAGTGATGAATTTTATGCAGAGAGTAACAAACCTGATTTGTACTTTAAAAAGAACATACTTGAGCATATTATACATTTTTTTTAAAAAACCTACATGAAAAATCAGTCTAATCCTTGCATTCATCCCATACAAGTGTTGTTCAAATTACTAAACACAGAAAATATAATTCAGATTAATCTTTCCCAATAGAAAAAAAATCTATACACTACTGTGTCAGAACTGAGGTACAATGTTAAGTATTTTAACCTACACCCTAAATTCTGTGCATGTGAAAAATTACACCTGGAGGGTCTAAAGGACTTACCACTCTATTAAGTAGAAAAGCACAATTTAGAATCCAGGTCAATTTTTTATAAACACTTTAAGGGCTCAAGTCAATGTCAACATTCTACAAGTACTCTTAAAAAAGGATATCTTAAGATAATTTATGATTTTTCTTTTCTTTTCTCCTTTGTTGCCCATAAGGACCTCTGGCAATAAATAGCTACAAATTTCTTGCTGATAAATGCCTACAAGATAAAAAAAATGTAGAAAATCCAAACTTACTTCTACAAAGGCAAACCCTTGATACCCAAAGCACAATAAGAACAATATGTTCCCAATAGTAATTAGGAATAGTAACAAACTCTTAATACGTCAAATAGAAAAAGAATTTAATACCAGCCTGGCAAACATGGTGAAACCCCGTCTTCACTAAAAATACAAAAAATTAGGCGGACATGGTGATGCATGCCTGTAATTCCAGCTACTTGGGAGGCTGAGGCAGGAGAATTATTTAAACCTGGGAGGCGAAGGTTGCAGTGAGCCAAGATCACACCACTGCACCCCAGCCTGGATGACACAGCAAGACTCCATCTCAAAAAAGTAAAAAATAAAATTAAAATAGGCCGGGTATAGTGGCTCAGGCCTGTAATCCAAGCACTTTGGAGGCCAAGGCGGGCAGATCACCTGAGGTCAGGAGTTTAAGACCAGCCTGACCAACATGGTGAAACACCGTCTTTATAAAAAAATAAAAATAAATCATAGAATATTAAAAAAAAAATCATCAATATCATCAATCGACATCCCATTGTGCTAGGAGGTAGCGAATATCAACATATTGATTTTAAAGACTGTCTGAAAAAACAGACTAGGGCCAGAAATAAATTTGAAAAAGACTAACAAGGAGGAATTTCCCCAATTACTATACTTGACCAATAAAACATGAAAATCTTCTATTATATAACCTTTCACCTACCTATTGGCAAAATTTAAAACAGTAACATCCAGTAGTGTCAAAATATGGAGGGAAAGACATTTGCCACACAGTAAGATAGTCTACCATGTAGACATTCTTTATTGAATTGATCCTAAAAATATTCATACAAATTAGGATGGATATTAGCACATAGATATTTTATTCATTGGACAATACTACTTGTCCAACAAATTACCTCAGGATCTCTTACAAAGCTATAAGCTAGCCCAAATGGGCCCTTCCTTTCCCACACAGGAGGAGCTGTACCAAATTCCATTATTCAAAGGACTGAGAGACCCAAAATCTCCAGGTGTTCAGCAATTGGTATGTCCTAGCACTCAGTGAACAACTTGTACCTACTCAGCTCATATTACTTGGCATCCAAGTCCAAGGTATTCATTCTACCTGCAAGACCATTCTTCTTGCCATATAAGAAGAGAGAAGAGGCCAGGTGCAGTGGCTCATGTCTGTAATCTCAGCACTCTAGGAGACTGAGGAATTGCTTGAGGTCAGGAGTTTGAGACCATGCGTGGTGGCACACACCTGTAATCCCAGCTTCTTGGGAAGCTGAGGAATGAGAATTGCTTTCACCTGGGAGGCAGAGGCTGCAGCCAGCCAAGATCATGCCACTACAGTCCAGCCTGAGCAACAGCGCGATACTGTGTCTCAAGAAAAAGGGAGGGGGAGGGGGGGAGAGAGAGAGAGGGAGAGAGAGGAGAGAGAGGAGACTGGGAGGTTATACACCTCTACTAAAGCATCTGCACTTTGGGAGAGTTTCCGTCAAGTTACATAAGAACCTGAGCACTTATTGACCCTTGTCAGGGCAAATTAGAGCCTGTACCAAGTAACATTTATTGGTTTTTCCCAAGAGTCCTTTACCCAACAATATTCAGTGTAGGATAGTTTAAAATATTTTTAAAAGAAAAATGAAACTGGAGACAATCTAAATGCCAGAGTAGAAATAGTAAAATTTACTACTGTACATGCATAACATAGAATAACATGTTGACGTTAAAAACAATGGGACCTACAGAAACTAGCACAGATAGATATCCATGAAGTTCTTTTGAGTAGGGGTCAACAAAACAAATCACAACCAAAAGTTTTAACACATATAATCTTTGTCTAAAAAAAATGTAATGAAAGAAAATACTCAAAGATATTATAAAAAATAAATGAAAAGAAAATGTAAGTAGTGCTTACTACATAGAATGGGAGAGCACTGGGGAGAATTCTACGCAATGACTGAAAATTTTTTCATCAATGATTCAATTATTCAAATGAATATGTACATAATCAAAGCTTCAATTCCTAAGAGCTGTGCTTCTTCAGAGATTACTTCTATATCCAAAGAGAAGTTTAAAAGGATTTTTATAAACTTTGTTTGTTTTGTTTTGTTTTTGAGACAGGGTCTCACTCTGTCACCCAGGCTGCAGTGCAGTGGCATGATCATGGCTCACTGCAGCCTAGACCTTCCCGGGCTCAGGTGATCCTCCCCTCTTCAGGCTTCTGAGCAGCTGGGACCATAGATGCATGCCACCATGTCCAGCTAATTTTTGTATTTTTTGTAGAGACCAGGTTTCACCACATTGCCCAGGCTGTTCTTGAACTCCTGGGCTCAAGTGATCTGCCTGCCTCAGCCTCCAGGTTTATAGGTGCGAGCCACCATGCCTGGCCTAAAAGGATTTTGAAGATGAGTAAATTAAGAACAATATATCAATGGGCCAGGGAATAATGATGACTATCTCTTTTTACTTCTTTTTACATGTTATGCAAACTTCTCATCAGTTTCCAAGACAGCCCCAAGAGGTAGTAATGTCTCCACTGAGAATCACTTAAAAATTAGTTTAAAATTGCACAAAATCCCAATCTCAAAAAATATATATTAAAAATAGAAAGTCTGAAGGTTAACTTGAAGCAAAAGAATCACTAAAATTTAGCATCTTTTACTCTATAAGGATCTCTTGCCTAACCAGTTCTTGTGGCAACAAGAGTATTGCTGTTACTATTTTAAAGCTACAAATATGTGTAAAATATACAACATCACTCAAGTACTATTAGTGTATTTGGCTTTTACATACTTTCTTGCCTCCAGGATACTTGATGTATTGTCAAGGGAGCTTAGTTTGTAAAACTTTCCTTCTAATTTTGGGAACCACTATGACCTTAATATGTTTTATAAACTATTGCCTCTCAAAGTAGAAACTAAAAGGAACTTCAGAGTCATTTAGGACAAAAAGGAATGTGAGACAATCAAGAACTAAATAAAGAATATTAAAGAAGAATATTTCAGAAGACAAGGATATGAATTCCAAAGAACAAAAACGTAATTGGTGGCATATGTAAATTCCATTCCCCATTATTCAAGTTCACTTTTGAAACCTGCTGCATAACCCAAAACTCCCACATGATTCTCCTCACTTTTACCTGACAACTTCACCTTAGAACAGTGGTTCTCATTCAGGAGTCATTTTGAACCGCATGGGCATTTGACAATGTCCAGAGACATGGTGGGCAGAGTCAGTATCCTACAGGGATCTAGGAGGTAAGAGGTCAAGGATGCCACTAAATACCTACAGTTCTCAGGGCAGGCCCCCATAACAAAGAATTATCCAAGGCAAAAATGTCCATGACTGAGAAATACTGACTTAGAAGTCTCCAAAATAATTTGCATCGCCAAGCCAGGAGCTCACTCAACCTACTACTAAATCTAAAACCTGCTTCCATTTGTATCCAAATTCTAGACCTTCTTTCCTCCGAAGTGCCCATACTCCTATTACACCCAAACATTTGTCTTTGAGAACCCTCACCCTTCTGGAGGACACTGCACCTGCAATGATACCTTCTTTCCTTCAAAAATTTCTCTCATTCTACTGAATTCTAAAGTATACAAAGTCTAGTAATTATTAAACACAAAGAGATACACAACCACCGCAAATAAAAACACCTCCATTAACTCCTCCTCTCACTTTCATAGGGAACAAAAACTTCTTGAAAAGTTGTCAGCATTCCCTATCACTTCTTCCTTGCTTCTCTGTCCATATCTAACCCACTCAACCTAACCACCCTGCTGTTCTGCTGAAATTATCCTTCATGGTCACCACTGACCAAAACCACCAGTCACTTCTCTACCCTACTCACTTCACCTCTCAGCGTTACTGGAAAAAGCTACCATTCTTTCTTCCTGAAACACATTCTTCTGATTTCCACAAAGCCTCCCTCTTGTGTTTTTCTTATCTCTCAGGTTGCAGATTCTCC